CTTTCTTCCTTTCTTCCTTTCTTCCTTTCTTCCTTTCTTCCTTTCTTCCTTTCTTCCTTTTCTTCCTTTCTTCCTTTCTTCCTTTCTTCCTTTCTTCCTCTTCCTTTCTTTCTCACTTTCTTTTAGACAGAGTCTCTCTAATAGTAGGTCCGGCTGTCCTGGAACTCACTATGTAGGCCAGGTTGGCCTTGAACTAATAGAGATTGCCTGGTTCTGCCTCCTGAGTGCTAGGATTAAAGGCATGCACCACCATGCCTGGCTTTCTATTTCTTTTTTCCCCCGTGTTTAACATTTTTATGGTAGAGGTCATTCATTTCCCTGGTTACATTTACTCTGAAGTATTTTTGAAGCTATTGTGAATGTGATTGTTTTTCTGATTTCTTTCTCAGCATTTTGTATGTTGAGTTCACATTTGCTACTTTGCTTAACATGTTCATCAGTTTTTAGAGTTCTCTGCTAGAGTCTTTAAGGGCTTACATTAAAAAAAAAAGCACAATGTCTTCAAATAAATATTGTTTTTACCTCTTCCTTTCTTAGTTGTATCCTTTTCTTATCATACCACTTTATGATACCATGTATCCTTTTCTTATCATACCAGTTTAGCATACCATTTCCTTTTCTTATCATACCACTTTAGCTAAGGGTTCAAGCACTATATTGAATACGAGTGGAAAAATGGGCACCCTTATCTTGTACTTAGAGTTTTCTCTTATTTGGTATGATATTGATTATAATTTTTTCTAGATGGCCTTATTACATTGAAGTATATTCCTTTTATTCCTAGTTCCTTCTGCAAATTTTATCATGAGGGATGTTGGAGTCTGTCAAAAGGTGTTTCTATATCTCTTAGATGATAGTGTAATTTCTGTACTTGAATCCATTTATGTGGTGTTTACTTATTGATTTACTTATGTTGAACTATACTTTCATACCTGCATTGAAGCCAACTTAATCAGTATAGAGAGTTTTTGGTATTTTCAAACGGAGTTTGCAAGTCTTTTATTTAGAATTTTTGCACCTATGCTCATCAGGAAGGTTGGTCTAACATTTCCATTTTTGTTATGTTTGCAACCAGTCATATCAGGATAATTCTGTATTCATAAAAAATTGTTAGCATTCCCTTTATTTCATATTAAATAGTTTTGGTTTACTATTGATATTATATATTTTTTTAAAAAGTCAAAGCAATATGGCATCTCCAGAGATTATATTTTTAACTACATTTTTTCTCTTCCCTTTCCTTCCTCCAAGCCTTCCCATGTAACTCTCCCCACTCTCTCGCTTTCTGCTGAACAATGAGGACATCAACAAACATGGTGGGCTTCATGGAAGAAGCCCACAAGGCCTCAACCCTACACACAGAATAGTTTTAAAAACATTGGTGTTGTTGGAAATAAGATGGTGTCGGGCTATATATTTATTATTAGTCCTATGATTATCATGGTGGTAATATTTAACCCACTATCACAATCAATAAGACACAGACACCTGTTAAATTTTGTAATTGCCTTATAACCTTGAGAGGGGCAGATATTCCACTTCCAGCCTCCATCCAATGCTATCTGTCTTAGCCATTCCTATTTGGCCCTATCTCCCATCCATAATTTTATAAATACTTGCTTATCTTTCACTTTCTTCACTCATGCTGTCCTCAGAGTCCTTCCTCCCCGCCCACATGGTTCCTTCTCTATGCTAACCCGTTGTGGTGTACTCCTTTTTCCTCTTTTTCCATCTGTTTCCCTCCTTCCTGTGATTCTCCTGTCCTCAAAGCTCGGGAAGGAGACAAGCCTGTCTCCTTCTACCCTGCCCAGGTATTAACCAATCAGGAATAATGTCTTAGGCAGGTTTATACAACAAGGATAGGGTAGTAACCAGATCTTGAGGGTTAGTAATCACCATCAAAATACAAGGATCATACCAACGCCCAACACTTTGGTATTAGTTTTTCTTTACAGGTATAGCAGAATCCACCAGGTATCATGTGTGTGTCTACAGTTTTTCAGTTAAGTTTTCCTTTTGCACTGGTCTGGCTTCTTACAGACCAGAGTATGATGTTTTGTAGAATCTTACTCATTTCTTTTACATTTTTCAATGTATTAGACTGTAGGTTTTGAAGTCAAGTCCTAATGATCTGTGGTTTGTTGCTATCTGTTGCTGGTGTAATGTTTTTTTTTAATCTCTGTATTACTTTGGGGTTTCTTGCCTTTTCTTTGTTGTTAGTTTGTCTATGTTTTTTGATATTTTCAAAGAATCAATTCTGTGTTTCATTGATTCTTTGTATTGCTTTTGTTTTCAAGGCCTGAAGAACATTTGCAATTTGGAGAACAAAATAAACATTCTTCCAAAGTTTCTGTGAGCATGTTCATCTCTACAGCAAAGAAAGAGTACATGAAACATAAGAATTAACAGATACCTCAACGAAACAATAATGTTTCATGATGCTATAAAAATTTTAAATGTAGCAGAAAATATTTTTCATGATAGTAGCAAGAATGCATAGGAGTATACTTTACAGAAGGAGTAAATTGTATGGAAAAGTTCTTTGGAAAAAAAAAACTTATTGAAGGATATTCTAAAACTAACCAAAATAATTTAGGATAAAAGTCAATTTGCTGCCTCACAGTGAATTGATATTTTTAATGGAATTTGACTAATGGATACCAAAATTAATAAGAAAGTAAGAGCCAAGGATTATCAAAACTACTATAAAAAAGAAGAGCACCCATGCCAGACAGTATAGCAGCTCTGCTGTATGGCTACTAACTAGAGCATCGCAGTGTAGAAATAGGGACAGGCAACAGAGCTAGTGAACAGCAAAGACAAAAGAGACCTTGGTCCATTCTGAAGATTGTCATATGAGATTACTTTGTTAATTAGATATGGGGAAAAAAAGAACTATATCACAAACATACTTGTAATAATTCTCCATTTGCAACAATTCACTTAAATATCTACGTTGCTCCATAATCATAAAAATAACCTCTGGCATTAATTGACTGCTCATCCCACCCCAGACAAACTAGTCTAGAGAAGCTTTCTGTGTCATTTCACCTCTGACTTGGCCCCATCTCTATGCAGATTGTGCCCAGTTATACCGTGTAAAAGTAACTTTTATTCACTAGAAGAAGAGATGAGATGAGAGTCATGCCAAAGCTGTGTGAATACACAGTTTGGGCTGAGCTCAGAGCATTTCTTTTTCTGTTCTAATTATACCTAGGCCTAGACCTAGAAGCATCTACAATCTAACCTAGATCTAGAATGTTTTCAGCTTTTGATACTTACTGCTGAATAAGATCACCCTTTCTAGTTCTTTCTGAACTCTAGCTGGCTGGTTCAACTCAGCTGTTTTCACTCAAACTCCTGTCCTAGTTGACTGATTCAAACTGGATTCTCTCACTTCTGACTGAATTGTTCTGCTTGGCCTCAAACTAACTCTAGCAACCTGGCTCCTCATTCTCTAGCTTATTCTGTCTTCATCTGTGTCTAGCTTGTCTCTATAAAACTCTCCAGGCAAAACTGCCTCCCCTCCCTCTCTGCCCTGGTCTTAAGTTGCCTCTTTTCTCTGTCTGTTCTTATAAGAGTTGGGTATATCCTATCTCAGACTCATTCTGTCAAATCTTTGATTTGTCATTTTGTCTGCCTCTCAATTAGATGTCACTTTCAAACCTGGGTGCTTCCTTCTCCAAACTAACCTTACCAATACTATTTGGGATTAAGGGTACGAGTGTATTCCAGCCAGAGGGATTAAAGGTGTGTGGCATGTCTGCATTGCAGCTGGATCACATAGACCTAGATTTTCAAATGTGATCCCTTTCCAGAGTAGCCATATTGATGGATTAAAATTCCTCTACAACACGCTAAACACACAGCAGAACTTGCTTGTCACCCAGGCAGCTGGTAAGTCCTCCCTCTGGATAGTGTTCTCTGTAGCATCCTGGCAACGAGAATGAAGTGCAAGGTCCTAAGGAACCTAATGAACCCAAAACTCCAGAGACAGCTCAGAGGATGGAGTAGTCCTGCTTGTTCCCCTGCACTGCAAAACATAGGACAAAGCAAAGGGCAACAACCATACAACCCTAAGAAGCCATCTCAGAAAACATGAATGGGAATGTCATATTGCAAATAGAAAATAATGGCTGTGTCTTGGAAGGAGGTGGGATTGGGTCCAGGATGGGTCTCTATGGCTTTCGGTGCTATTTGACTGTGACAACTCTGGGCAGAATGGAATCTCTTTCAGTCTGATTCTTCTTTCTATATCTTTAACCTTTCACACTTGTTTGTGTTTTACAAAATGAATGCAAAAGCTGCCATATTAAAGAGTTGGGTGGAGACAAAGGATAGTGGCACTCCTGTGACTCCCTCGGGCATGTCTTCAGGAGGCAGCAGGTGCTTGGGAACCAGACTCATTTTTTTTCTAACTTCTCCCTTCCTGGTAAACACTAAAGCCAATGCCAGCGGTCTATTCTCAGACATGTCATCAGACCTGTTCATCTGTTATCTGAAGCTTCCATTGCCTTGTGCATGGCAAGTCTCAGTAAATAGTGTTGACTGAGCCATTTATAAAGTGGCATTAAACCATTATAAACCAAATTAAGCCATGTTCATTTAAATCACCTAACAGGTGACAGTCGAGTAAGAAATTGATTTCTTGGGAGCAGTGTTAGAAGAGGCAGCTCTCCTTTCCTTTAGGTAGGCAGGAAAATAGATGGGAAAGCTTGTGCTGACTTAGCTTTAAAAGCTTCCCTGGGCTTTGTTTGCTCTGCAAGGTTTTGCTCTTGCTGGGCTAATACCTCTCCTAGCTGCCTTTGGCTGACCTTGGGCTTTCTCTGTTTATCCCACACAGAGGAGTTTCCATGTTAGGAACAGTCCTGCTCTTAAGCTCTTTGTATTCTCCTCCTGATGGTGTTTGCCTTGCCTGCATTCCAAAGTCTTAGGATGGAGTCAGATCTCCAAAACCCCCCTACCTCCACCCCCAGTGGTCCCCCAGGCTGCTCTCACCTAGCCTTCTTTTGCTTTGAAATTCACAACCTGAACCAGAACTAAATGGAAAGGGGTAGCTTCAAAACACCTCTTATTTCCCCTAGAAACATATTTCCCCAGTGTATCAAGTGGGTAAACTTCCCTCCATCGCCTGCCTTTCTCCCTGAGAAAACTATCTGTTTTCTGGGATCCATTCGTTGGCCTCCCTTTTGTCTGGTTATTTCCCTTAGGAAGACTCTGCTCTGGTGCTCCAGGGAGAAATCTTCCAGTCATGAAAGATCAAAGCACCACTCACTGTCAGATCCTGGGTCCTCACCCTTCCTGCACCCTGAGGAGATGGTAGCGAATGCTATTGCATTCGTGGTTTGAGTGTCTTCTTGCTCTGAAGGGAAGGGGTCCTTGGAGTACCAGTTAGGCCACAGCTACTTCTGAATTTGTCTTTGAAATTTTCCGACAAAGAGAAGGCTTCTCAAATCCCAAAGGAGAGCCACGGAGAAATGTAAAGGGGTGACAGCAATTGTCTAGAGGATTGCTGAATTCATTCTTTGGCACCAACAAAGGATTGAATGACCAGGAAAGACAGAAGAAAGGAAAGGTACAGCTTCCCACATTTGGGATGGGAGAAGTCCAAGGTTGGAAGTTCATTAAACAGCTAGCTTGGTTCGCCCCTTTTTCCCTCTTGGTCCTGTGGCATCCTACCAATTTTACTTACAGTTTTCTGTGAACAAGAAACAGCTATTTCAGTGAGTCTGCTTATCCATGTTCTCCAGTTTGGGAATAGACAGGTGAGAATAAAAATGTCCTTGTCTCCAATATGGAACACATAGGCTGATTGGAGAAGCAAGTAATGATATAATATGCAATTTTTTAAACTGTGACTTAAAAAAATATTTGTTTGTGTAATGAACACACAGAAAGCAAAGAGGGAGGCACCCAACTCAAGGTCCTGAAGTCAGAGTGTGCTGACAGCAGATGTGAGCGCAGGGGTGTGACTAGCAAAGTTCAGTCAGAGGCAGGAACCAAAAAGTGTGCAAGGACAAGATGAGCCTCTGCAGGACCATAAAAGACCAGGCTCCAGGCAGCTCAGCAGACACTGGTCTCCAGTGTACCTCAGCACATATGAACCAATATGCTAGCAACAAGGGACCCTTCCAATGACCATGTCTCCCACCAGCATCTCCGGCCTCTGGCTTGTCTCTGACATCCGAGAACACTGACTGTCCTGAACCCTGGTTGACTTGGCCAAGCACAGCTAGCCTCCATGGTTCTTATGGAGCATCTACTGCAGAGCCAGAGGCTATTCACTTCCCTTTCCCAACCAGTAGATGTTAACGTGGGCAACTGGGCTGCGACCTGCTGCCCTTGAGTGAACTCTGCCTCTGGATATTGATGGCATCTCTTAGAGCTAGATTGTTAGGCTGTTGGATTTGTTTGTTATGGATTGTTTTCCTTCCCCTGATGTGTGAACAATAAACTGTGCCTTTGAAAAACACCTGACTGTCTGCCTCTCTGTGTTGCCTAAGTTATGCTTGAGGTTTATTTGTGTGTGTGTGTGTGTGTGTGTGTGCGCGCGCGCGTGTATGTGAGTGCAGGTGCATGCATTCATAGTTTACTTGTGGACATCAGAGGACCATTTTTAAGAGTAGGTTTTCTCCTTTAGAAATGGAGCTCAGAGGTCAGGCTTATACGGTAAATGCTTTTGCCTGCATCTCACTGGCCCAAATTATTATCTTTTAAATTTATTTATATTTTTTTTTGTAAAGGGTCTCACTGTGTAGCCATAGCTGCCCTGGAACTCACTGTGTTACCCAGGCTGGCTTCCAATTTGAAGCAATCTTCCTGCCAAGTGCTTGGATCACAGGTGCATGCCATTACTTCTTTTATTTTTTTATTTTTTTTGAAAACGGTATGAAATCCTAGAACAATTTCTGGGGATTGGGTGATAAAGGTAGAGCACCTGGGCTACGGGCAGAAATGAAAGCGCTTGGACCAACAGTGGCAGCAATGTCGACCTCAGCCTCGGCAGGCATGCCGCTCATTTGAGTGGCTTCATTCCTCACTTCCAGAACGAGCATATCTTTAATAAAGGGCAAAGGAAGTATTCCAACACATTGAAAGTCCCCCCCCCTTTTTTTTTTTAAAGCAACAGCCACAGTATCTAAACATTTAAGCATTTCTTTGCTGTCTCTTTCTTCTCATCCCTTCATTATAGCTACATTGGTTGGGGAAGCTCTACATTTTGGTCTCTTTTATACTTGGCTTCTCCCACCCTATTAGAGTTCCTACTAGGTGCCACACCTTACAGGAGACTTGAGTTCCATCCATTAGGGCATTCTAATGCTGTGAACAATGAATCTGAAACATTTGCGTGGAAATATTCGCATTATTTGTACAATTTGTATTTGTATCTTGTATCTGTTGCTTTGTCCTTTTCGGCACAGAATATTATGTTTTCACTCTGAATTTTTTCCTTCTGTGCACTGTATTCTAAAGATACATACGTAATAAGCATTCATAAGATTTTGTAGTAAATTCCATACGGATGATGTTTTACTATTTCTTTAGGTCAAATAAGTTTGCAACTTACATGGCATGCATTGTTCTGAGCACTGTATATGACTCTCCAGGGCAGCGATTGCAAGCAGAGTTGCTGAGATGCTTGGTTTTAATGAACACCAGTAAGTTTCAAAAGAAAATGGTTATGCCCATTCACCTTCCACCTGTGATAAACACAGCCATGTTTTAGTCAGTGTTGTCCATAAAACTTATAACTCAGCACCTGTGCTTGAGAGAGAGGAATCCATTTTCGTTTTGACTTGTACTTTCCTTGATCACTGGACACTAAACACCCTTTTCCCCTGTAATCTTAATGACAACTTACCTTTCTCCTCTCTCAGTTCATTCTTTACAGGCATTGCCAGTTTATTTGTGGTTTGAACACTGTTTACTCTTTGTATAGATTTATAGGATAACAATTTTTGTTATGTTATCACACAATTCTTCTACCACTTAAAGTTTTATTTTTATAGCTTGTGTTTTGTCTTACAAACTTTAAAGTTTTTCTGACCTTACCAAATGCGAAGGCAGCTGTTCCAGTGCCATTTAATGTAAAGTTCAAGTCAGGTGAGAATCTCTTTTATACATATGGGTTCTGCTTTTGAACACAGATCTGTTCTATGGCCCTATTGGTATTTTCTTTGCTTCTATTCCCCTGTTTTGATATTTTAAAGTTCAAAATATGTCTTGACATTTAATAGGATAAGAATTCTCTGGTTTTTATTTTCAAAATTGTCTTGATTATTCTTAACATTTCCTCTTTTACTTGAAATTTTAAAATAATTCATCAAGTTCCGTGGGACTCTCTCCTCCTTTGCTCAAGATAAATGTCTCTGTATAAGAAACCCCTCTTCCTCACAGTTTCCAACCTCAAAAACTGTATCTTCATCTGGGTATAGAATTATAAACCAATTAAATCTCTCAATAGCTGGATTTTTTTCTAGTTGAATTTAATTAACTCTCTTTTTCTACTGGATATGTTGAAATGTTTCTAAATGTACATGGAATGGGACTTTTATTCTGTACTTTTAATTATTTTTTTAAACTTGACAAACAGCTTCATTTTGATGGTACAAAAATCGTAGATTAGAAATGAGGGAATACACATAAAACCAAATAAATACTAAATTATTCATGTACATATTTGTATACACAGGGCTTTCGGTGACTCTGTGCACTGATGATTTCTTAGGACATTGATTATATCAATAGGAACATCTGCCCTATTCCCAGATCTTCAAGGTTAAATGAATTCCCAATAATAAGAGCTGAAGAAGGGAATGATTTAACTCTTTGTTTTAGTGATTTGAGTCCTTGTTCAGCTGAGTCCGTCATTGTTGGAGTCACTGTCAAGAGAGGGGGGCTCAGATAAGGAAGAGTAGAGTACTTCTCAAAGGTAAGGACCTAGTGACTCATTTTCTTCAGGGGAATCCCACCCAAGAGTTCATTCAGCTGTAAACTCATCAGTGGACTAACTCATTTCATGGCCATATAACTCATTTGAAGACTTTTCAGTAACATAGTCAGCTGGGAATCAAGGCTTTAACACACCAGCCTTTTTGAGATACATTTCATATCTAAATCATAAAACTCTCCAAAGAAAAGAAATGCTCAAAGAATGATGGGATACATCAAAATGACACAAAAATCAACTCAAACAGGTCCCTCCCTCTAGTCAAATCAAAAGTAATGTGAGTACCTAAACAAATGGTTATTATTTTTAGCCCACAAGAAGAATCACAAGAACCCATACTCTAAGTCTACACTGAAAATGAAGATGAAAAAAGAATGAATGAATGAGTTACAAATGTTTGTGTTGCCAGAAGAATGGCAATGCTACATACAGATGCCATGTGTTCAGAAGATCACCATTTGATCACTATCATAAAAACTGTTTTTAGTCAGGAATCAGCAATGGTAGAAGTTTGATATACCTTAAAAAATGTGAACAAGGTCAGCATGACCATTCAAGAAACAGACATCATGTGTCTCTTGTGGAGAGAATGAGAGCTGTGTGTCTGGGATGTTAAGCCCCAAAGCCCTTCCTGACTCTGGCCACAAAGTGGCCGCAGCAAGTTCCAGGCTGAGTGCAATGTTCCCTAACAGACAGCCACTGCTCTCCAAAAGCATGAGGATCAAGGTGAAAAGAAATCCTTTTTATTAATGGAGTATGAAGACCAGGGTCAGAATGTAATCCAGATTGGATCCTGGATGAGGGAAAATAGGAAAGCTTGACTTAGATAAGAAATTAGAACAGGGTAGAGCTCTTGCTTAGCATGTGTGAGGCCCTTGGCTCAATCCTTGGAATTACCAAACAAAATAAACAGAACCATCATAGCATTACTTCCCTGATAGTAGGCACTGTTTGCTAAGGAAGCAGTCTTAATTTGAGGAAATGTACATTAACATTAGCAAGCATCATCTAGACTCTCCAAGTCTAGAAAAGCCGACCGTAGTGGCATGTCCCTATGTTTCCAGCACACAGAAGGCTAAGGTGGGGAAGGTCATGAGTTCAGGAGCTACCTGGGCTATCTTTGAGAACCTGTCTGAAAATGTGTGGGGTGTAGTTCAGTGTTAGTGCCTGGCCTTTGCCGTTTATGGGCAAGGTCCTGAATTTGATACAGGAGAAAAAAAAATAAGGTTCACAATGCTTTTATACATGGGCACTGGCAGGAGATGAGGATGAATATGGTGTAAGCATAAGATTATTTAAAAATAAACAGTTAAGACAGATTCTTAAAATGTACATCATTGGCAAGTGTCCTCCATCTAGGCACAAGGAGCCAAAGTATGCAGATGATAAAGTTCCCGTCACCAGCTGATGGCCAGAGGCGGAATTACATGCTGTCCCCAGCCACTGAAGGATGGAGTCAGCTTCACAAAGGCCAGCTTTGTGATAGGATCGCCACAAAGTGTTGGCAGAGGAAGGATATGGTTTGAACAAAGGCACAGTTCTGGCATTTGCCCCCTGAAGACAGGCAGAGAAATGCCTTGCAATCCTGCCTCTGTCTATAACAAAAGAGATCTCAAAAAGGTTTCCGGTCAGGCAAGCCTGCTTTGGGAAGCTGAGCTATTAAATTCACATGGGGAGTTAAGCCCCATGTCCAAATTTAACCAAGGCTTTCCCAGACCCCAGGGCATGCAACGAAGTGAAGTTCTAGTGAAATCCCTCCCTTGTGGCATTGCAGGACACCAAGGAGGCACGACTAGGCTGTGGGGACAGGTCACACTAGTGGGTCCTGCTTGAAGTAAACAGAAATGGCAGGTGGGCTGCCCTTAGGGGAAGCCAGCAAGATGGGTAATTTCTTTCTTTCTTTCTTTCTTTCTTTCTTTCTTTCTTTCTTTCTTT